GTACCCGCGAAGGGTTTCATTGGCCTTCTGGCGGCAGTTTTTGAGGTCCCATGGGTTTCCAGGGCGTTTGTACGTGCCCTGGAAGTTACCCACAAAGATCTCCATCAGATCCGCCCAACTCTGAATAGCATTGGACGGTAGGTGCTCCAGCCATGCTCGCGCCGAATCGGCCAAGAACAGCGGGTGATTGCGAATAATGAAGTTGTCATCACTCGTACCACCGGCCTGACATGCAAGCCAATAGTCTTCGAGCCAAAGCCCAGGATTTGTTTCGCCAGAATAATTAGGGATGTTGGTAGGCGGTCGATACCTTAGGGGGAACGCAGCGTTGAGGATGTGTCGGGCGAAGGCCCGAGGGCCTGGCAGGCCGGGGCTCGGGCTTCGGTCCTCGTTGCTGTCGTAGCGCTCACCACGTCGGGGATAATAGCCACGGCGTGCTGCTTCTCCATCGTCGCCGTGGGCACGTCTCCGAGCGTCGATGATGCTGCGTACGTCGTGGCCATGGCCGAGGCGTTGATGTACTGGGACGACGGAGGGCTGCCCGCCAGCTGGCGGTGTTTGGTGTACGGATGCTTCCTTGGTGGGACTCACCGAGGGCGCGCGCTGGCTGGTGTTGGGTTCGCGTCGTCGAGACAACGAACTTTCCGCCTGCTGTGCCGCCGCTCGCTCGAGCAACGTGCGAATCTCCCGGCGAGCGCGGCGATCCTCGGACATCGTGGCCTCCGGAAGGCCATGCAGCAAGGCGGTTGCTGCGGCGATGTTCTGGCTGGCTCGGGCAAAGTGAGGAAGGGCCCCATCGTCGGTGAGGATCCTCTGATGTATGGTGCGGGCCGTGGCGCACGCGCCCCCCCCCCCGTCTTTGCGGCGTTCAATCTCGCGATTGATGTCCGCGTATTCCCAGGCGAGCCCTTGCCCGGCCTCATCGATCTCTTGCTGACGGGCCCTTAGCTGCTCCATCCTTAGGCGAGATGGGGCTGTCATCTCTTCCCCGGATCTGCTGTCAGGGTTGTTTGTAGGGGTGACCTCTTCCCTGGAGGCGCTTTCGACATGACCTTCGGGGGTCTGCGTCATGAAGCACTCCCGGGAAGGGTGGTGGCTCCCCCTACTAGAATCCGAGCTAGAGAACGATCCTGGCTCCTCGTTGAGGAGCCCGTAAAGGGTCTCCGTATCATGTTCAATCGCCCCCACGAACTCGATGTCCGTGGGTGACTGAACCATCCGTAGCGCCAGAAGGTGGCTAGCGGTCGCCGCAGCGTTGCGAAGACCGAACGGAAACGCTGTCGGGGCGCTCCGTACGGGACCTTCTGGACATAGGGTGACGTTGTGCGAGACCTCCCTTGGTGACCGGACTCCTAGGGAGTTGCCCGGCGGGGCCTCGAGCCTAAGACGGCTGAGGTTGATGGAAGGGAGAGATGGGGCGGCAGAGTGAGTTAGCGCCAACTCTCCTTCTAGTGTGATGATGAAATCTAGGTCGCCGAAACGCACGTGTGCGCCCGGGACCCAGGTGATTGCGTGGGTGTCCATCCGAAGCCTGATTTGGAACGCGCAAGCTCCCCTACCTGGCGCGCCAACTGTCGGTGTTTCGTACAAGCACCGGCAAGTAAATTTATAGTAATGCGCGTTAGGCTCGGATGGTGCGCTAAAGGACACAAGATTTATACTGGTTCGGGCCGAAAGTCCCTACGCCCGCTTCTTGTCGCCGTTATTAGCACCGTGAACGGTTTGTAGTAAGGTACAAACGATCGAGAGAGGGGACCGGTCCCAAGTCTCGATGGAAGGGTTGAAGGGATGTCAAGAGGTTCGACACCACTTGACCGTGTGTATCTGTGTGTCGCTTTTTGTTCGGTCTTTTCTCCCCTCCTTTTTATGGAGGAAGCGCATCCCTTTTATAGATGAAGGGGCCGGCTTTACAAGGGTGAGGGCTTTAGGATGCGTACTCTACTTAGTCTTGTGGCTCACGCTCTACCCGGCCCAGTTCTTCATTCTCGATGAGTGCGAAGGAAGATAAGCACCTACAATCTGTCAATGTCTCTCAGAAATGTCGAGTTGGTTACTGAATGCTACCTGCGCAGGTATGGGCCGCAGATGTTGGTTTCGACTTTTGAGCCTCCCCACCTTGCTCCGCACGCCTTCGGGTTCCTATGAGTCTTCGCTGGAGGGACGCGGGGTCGGGTCTGAGTAGCGCCGTGTGGCCAAGGTCTTCTGCCTTGGTGGACTGAGGGTCGGGAGCGGGCGCCGCTCCCTTGGGTCCATAGCGTGGTGACGGAATATCCGCTGCTCGTGGAGATAGCAAATCCTTTTTCTCGAGCGTAGCGGTTTTATCGATATATCTTCGCTCGGGTTCCGTATCCTAGAGTGAAGGCGGCGCCTACAACTATACAGGTGGAGAGCTCTTTGTGTAACATCTTTCGGGCTCTGCGGTGCCTGGAAGAGCCTAAAGCGCCCGTCCCGTCATCCCCTGGCAGTACTTTTCCTGCCAGGGTGCAGGGTATGGTTCTTGGAGCCACGGTTGACCTGAACGTCTTGTCTTGCCCTGTCTCTATCATCTTGAGGGAACAGGGAGAAGTGGTCAGGTAAGATGAATCCAATCTTTAGATATGGAGCAGAGTGAGGCTTGTTCCTTGCCGTCGGGCGAAGCGGAGACCAATCCCTATCTCCTGGGCAAGACCGACCCTGCTCCTCCGGGGTCGGGCGAGGCGGAGTCTATCCCTCAGCCCTCGGGCGAGACCGAGCCCGCCCTAAAGGCATTGGGTGAGACGGAGACTAGCCCTGTGCCCTCGGGCGAGGCAGAGCCTCATCAAAGGCGTCAGGCGAGTCGGGGTTTATCCTTCGGCCTTCGGACGAGATCGAGCCCGTCCAAAAGGCGTCGGGCGAGATGGAGACTAATCCTCGGCCCTCGGGCGAGACCGAGCCCACCCCAAAGGCGTCGGGCGAGGTGGAACCAAGCTCTTGTCATTCCCGTGAGGGGTGAAGCAACAGACATTCCCTACACCATGAGACAGCAGACACAATGCTAGCAGTAGCATCAGCATGGTGAGTTTCACTTTCACCTGCCGGTCCTCGGCCATTAGTGGCCTCGTTACCTGCAAAATACGTGGTATAAATATTGTGGTGTACTACTATGTTTACCGGCGAAGCTAGCTACATTATGCCAGCACATGCTGCTCTGCCCTCTTGCCATGCTTATGGAAATGGAAGTAAGGAACTGCACTCGACCAGTAAAGTATATAATGCTAGCAATCCAAATAAGCACAAGGTTTAACTTTGTTTTTTGTTTTTGTTTTGATGAAACTGGAGGGGTTTGAACCCCTACAGGATTTTATTTAAAGCAAGAAGGAACAAGTTACAGAGTACTAGCAAAATTAAGAAACGAAAAAAGAAAGGAAGAAAATGAGCCCAAACAAAGATATTAACTTTGTCAATGTTCGAATTGCGCTGCAAGCAATTGATGCATGACGAGTAACAGCAGAGCCCAGACCAAAATAATTGCTGAAGTAGTACTAGAAGCCTAGAACTGAGCACCAGGAGGAAATAGAACAACGGACCTCTTGTGTGGCTTTGCCCGGGTGGTGTAACGTATGAGCTGTTATGAGCTGTGAGCTTTGGTTTAGATGCTCAGCTGCCTACCCAGGGGTTTAAAAACAGTTTTACAGCCGCATACATCCACACACTTCCGTCATCATCACGCCTCATCTCGGCTTAGCTTGACCGCCGTTGCAGCGAAGACCCGGAGTCCGTCAAGCTCGTCAGCTACCTCTACTTTTCAGCTTCCATCCCGTCTCTCAGCGTCGCCGTCGCTGTTTGAGATGGACATGATTGTTGCGACATGTCCAGTCTCGCATCCCAGAATAATTTTCAGCAGAACCAGAAAGAGATATTCCGGGCTAATGCGCGACCTGTCTCCTTCGGGTTTCCATGATGAAGTTCAGTTCGTCGAATGGTCACCAGTGCTGTGTGTTCGTTTCCAAAACCAATGTTGTTTATTTGTGATGATCGGCCTTCCAGAATTTACTTTGTGGACATGATTTATTCATAGCTTATCTTTGACGACAGGGTTGCAGGTCAAGTCAACTTGTTGATATGGACACGTATATATGCTGTACAGTGCCGTGCTCTGCAGGATTTTCGCAAGTGACGAATATCGTCATTTGAATTGGAGAAATATATCTAGTGAAACAATTGAGTTTTTTGATGGGTGGAAATATGTGCACTTCCTTTTTTTATGTAAAAAAAGTTCGTTTGAGCAGAGATAGACGCAAGATATACTAAAAAAGGGTCATATATTTGAATTTTGTATTTTTGTCGAACACAACTAGAAAAGGGCCCTAGTCATCACCACATTATTGCTGGTTTGCTATGAACCGATTCACTACATAATGAATAATCGAACAAGTGACTAGAGCAGGGTGAACGGGAGTCTCAAAATTTAATTCATTTTCTAATAGTAGTCTTAGGAATAGTTGGAGTATGTGTGGTTTTTTCTTCTAATAATTTTAGCGAACTTTCAAAAACCAGTTTTTTGGCACTATTTTTTTTCGAAACAAAGACAGGAGCTCTGTCGCTCAATTAAGACGAAAGAATAAAATGTACAAGCAAGTTAGCCAGACGAGATGCCAAAAAGACACCCAATAGGCTAACCACCCAACGCGACGCAGTTGAGCACAACACGACATACTGCCAAGGGTCATCGTTGCCGAGCAAGGAAGCCAAGCTGCCAGCAGTTCCGACTTCCCATAGCAGGCTACCTACTGATCACCCCTGATGGGTCTGAAGCTAACGGCCACCACATGTCATCGTTGCCAAGCTCGAACCGAAGAGCAGCTCCGACTTCCAACACGAACCCTCTCCCTGCATCGAAACCGCGACGATAATCCAAATACGACGCCTTCACGAAGGGAGTGACGCCGATGGCGCCACCATCATACGTCCAAAAGTGGATCCGGTTCACCCTTGGAAGACATGGCAGAGGGGAAACGCGACGCATACTCCAACGATCATGTATGGTTTTCACCGGTTGGCATTTACCTGATCACCCTCTTGACCCGGTACTGTGCAACAAAGTATCAGAGCTGCAGGAGAAAAGTTCATACAGAAGGCTTCTTTTTGACTGCGTGAATGTTGCTCTTATCGAGATCGGCGAGAACACCTTACTGAGTGCATTCCCATGGAGTAAAAGACACTCCAGGACATGGAGAGGCACCTCATCTCCTGATCTGGGTGTAGAAGTCTGGAGTATCCTGAAGGACTGGATATACGGGGCACGGATGTTTGTGGTGAGCAATAGAGATAATGCTGAGATCATATTGGACAGAATTGTGAAGCAGGAGGTGGAAGCAAGAGGGTGGGTGAAACTGATAATGGCGCAGGTGGTTGACATCACTGAGGAACTCGAAGGGGGAGTAATGGACGAGCTGGTTGAAGAAGCCGTGCTGGACTTTACAGTTTGTTTTCAATGATGAGACATCGATTGTAACTGGTAAAACTTTCCAGGGAGCAGCTGGTTTGTGTATGCTCTTGTTTTGCAGCTACTCCGGTCGTTCGTCGCCGTATCCCCCTGATTCTCTATGTAGCTGGTTCTGCTTGTTGTGTTACTACGAGATTCTATAAACTTACATGGTCATTGTGCAGTTCATGAGAAGTTCTGTAGGCAAAATGAAGTGAGCCAAACTTTCCATGGTGGGATCTGCTGTTTCTGCATTTCACATTGTTCGTTCGTTGTTAATGAGCAAGAACAGCAAAAGCTTTGCCAGCTTAAGTGCTGTGGAGCATATATTATCTCATTGAGTTAGGTGCATTGTAAAAACTAAAAACTACCTATCTAAAAGGACAAAATGACTTACCATTTGGAATGAAGGGAGTACGCATGATGAAGAATATCTGAAGACAATTATTACCAATAATTAGCCAATATCAAGTATTTACAAATCTTTTTTAGCAATGTTTACGAATTATGTATGCATCGCGTAACAGCAGGGATCGAGGGAGGCTTGTCAGTTCTCAATTGTCGCGGTCATCAGAGCTGCACGTGCTGACTGCTGAGCGGGGTGAATCTGTGATCACTGGGCGGTCAGGATTCAGGAATGGGGTGGTTTGCTTCCGGATGCGAGGGTCAATAGTATATAGAATCCTGAGCTATTAGATCAATGAATAATAAATTGGGACGTCTCTGGAATGTAACAACTAGGTGATTCCCCACGTGTTGTTGCGAGAATTTTTTAAGAATTATTTGCTAGCTAGTTTATACATGGGGATAAAAATACAATAAAGACTACTGCTTAATTGCCGATCATAGTTTAGATGACAAACACACTTCTAACATGAAAAACTATCCAAACCAGCAAGTGCTCCATAGAATATCAATCCAAGTGCACAAAAGCAAGCTAAGAGTAATCTCCTACAACTAAAAAAAACAAAGCGTGGACACTTTTTGGTGCGACATTTGTTTTGGGTGTGCCTCTCCCCGTGCGATACCGCGAGCGCTACCTGTGAACAGCCGCCCGTGCGATCCTGTGAACAGCCGCACGTTCACCCATCCCTGCGACCTGGTTCCGCGGCCAGGGATAGATTCCCACGCCACCCCGTTTCTCTGCCAATTCCAAAACCGATAACCCTCCCCCCAACCAAAAAAAAAAGAAAAAGAAAGAAACGCCTCCGGACTCCCGGTCTTCCTCCCGTCGTCGCCCTCCTCTCGGGCGAGGGGCGGGATGCAAGAGGTGGAGTGGCCGGCCTGGTTCACCTGTGCTAGCTCCATCGTCGAGGTCGTCTTCGTGGGCCTCCCCTCTGCCGACTAGATCCGCACCGCCAACAGGATCGCCGCCGAGGACCCCGTCGCCTCCTCTCCCTCCCCATCGCACCCGGTGCCGGACGTGGCGATGAAGGCCACTCCACCGTGCTCCGGCAGAAGGTTCGGTGCTGCCCTGCCTCCCTGGCTCGCTTTTTCTTGCCCCGATCTGATCCACCCCCTGTGTTAGGGTTTGGGTGACGGGGTGGTACTTGATCTAACGACATGGGTCTGATTTTCTTGTCGTCTGGTTGTGCAGCTCGATGGCTTGCCGGCGATGGTGCAGGCCGTCCTCTCTAACGACCCCACCGTGCAGCTTGAGGAAACCGCGCACTTCAGGAAGCTGCTCTCCATAGCTTTGCCTCTCTTTGTCAAGCTCCTCAACTCTCACACCGAGGATGTTCATAAACAGGCATGCACTGAATTACAGGAGTTACTCTCTTCTATATGGGACTTACGTAGAGTGATGCTTAGGTTCTTTTCTTTTTCTTTTTCTTTTTCTTTTTGTAGGCTGTAAATCAACATATAATTTAAACTTAAAAAGTGCTATTACCTGTACAAATCAACACTGTATATGAAACTGGACATTCAGGTTGCAATCATACCAAAGTATATTTTCTTGCTTGGGTGCAAGTACTGATGTTGAAATTTAGATGGACATTCTCAGATACATTTTTTTCTCAACATCACGTGCGTTGCAATGGGAACACATAACTGGCAGGCATCTGAGCTGTCAAACTTGCCTTGCTGCATTCAGCGCTGGTGATTTTGCACTTCTACAGTCACACCACACTAACTGGCAGGCATTTGTTCCTTGACGCCGGCAGCATTTGGAAATAATGTCAGCCTTGTGATGTCACCAAATGCATTCACCTAAATAGGATAATCAGTAGGCACACAGACCGTGTTATTTTGTTTACATGGACTTAAAGTTTGGCACGAGCTTTCTAATAGCATAGTCACTCTTTCTGTCACGTTTATAATCCTTTCATGTTTAATCCTCGACTGCATGTGATTTCCAATGAGACCCTAAGTTTCATGTGAAGTTTTTTTTCCTGAAATTATATCCACCATAATTAATATGTATATCATGTGTTCAGTTCTATGATGCAAAGGTATGATAAGAAGCCTAAGTTTCATGTGCAGATGCAAAGGTATGACAAGAAGCCATAACAAATGTTGCTGTTTATTCAGTTAGTTATTCACATTATTCATCGATCACGGATTCTATGTTATGATTTCAGCTGATGTATGAGGAGGCAAGTCAAATAGAAAATGATGCAGTGAGCAGCATAAGGACAATGGCATCATTTTAGCTGAAGAAAAAGTGATGGATTTGTTCAAGAGAAAAATGTGAAGACCTTTAAGTGGATCAGGACACAAATACAAATGAAATTGGCTTTGGGGTTTCCTTCTTCTTGCTCACATATATGTCAAAGTACGGATAAATAAGTAGTAGCCTAGCAGGTGACATCAGTTCTTTCCATCCTGTGATATATATTCCTTTTTGTTCCCTCGTCAGTTGCCAATGAAGTAAAATCAAGAAATGCAAAAATCATTGTTGCAGATCAATAGCTTGAAAACAACATAGCCTAGAAGAATATATATGGATTTTTCAATAGACAAATGTGTGGAGTAATCCATCAAAACAACAAGGAATTTGTATACCAAAACAGTCCTGAAGTTGTACTACTGCAATTTATAGATTTACCCATACAATTGTTTTCCTGAATTTATCATCCCTATGCAATACAATGACGACACTTGCAATTGAATAGATACAACCAACTGTCCAGATGATCAGCTCAGCAGGAGGGTCGCGTGATGAGGTGGTGTGCATTAGCATCTACTTTCGGGCTATGAGAAGTTCAGTCAGAGGCAATTGAATTAGGTTCTTCCTTTGGGGGCATCAGGTGAAGTTGCCAATTTGTTTCTGTTCTGAATATTAGCAATTTACTAGGTTTATTCAGAGTAGATATGAGATCTCCACCTCCCAGCTCTAAGGTTGGTAACTTTTGATCATTACAGTGCTTCATGCTTTCTACAACCAGATATACCATTGATGTTTTTTTGCTAATTATTATCTTGGTAACTTTTGATCATTTCTGTTTTAGTTATTGTTGGCAGTTCAAAAGAACAATCTATGTTTGAAATTTTGAATCATTCATGAATTAGTTTTAGCCTATACAATTGATGAAGCTCAGGTGCCACTCTATAACTATGCTTATTTGAGACGGAGAACTGAGCGGGAGACGGAGGCTCCTGCGATAAAGCCGCCGACACCAGACTCTACCCCAACCCCTGCAGCAAAGCTGCCGACTACTTCAGCCTGCAGTCAGTTCAGTGATAGGGTGGCAGAGTTCACAGATGTGTGTGGCGTCACTGGTTGGCGGCACTTGAGCCTTTAGTACCATGGCTATTGTGTGCCATCAAGGCATTTGTTGCCAGCTGCAGTCCTACAGATATTGGCACTCCATTTGCAGGTAAATTCTCAAATAATTTCTACTCACCTGTGACTGGTGGATAATTGGCATGATTCTTTTTTACTCCCTTTGTTTCAAATTATAAGTCGCTTTCGCTTTTTTGGTACATCCATTTTGCTATGCATCTAAATAAATAATATGTCTAGATACATAGCAAAATAGATGAACCAAAAAAAGTCAAAGCGACTTACTGATTTATTGGTTTTGATCTTGTTGCTAAAAAATACATGGAAGTTCAATGATGCTTGATTTGGCTATTGCCATGACGATTAGTTTTATCTATTTCAGGCTACAAATTTCAGAGTATCTGTACCATATATTTCACTTAGTGAGTCACCTTTTTGTAGCATTGATTTCTCATCGATGTGAGCTTGAAATTCTTATGGTCATTGCATATATTTACATGTTTACTGGAAAATGTCCCCTTCTTTTGCATACAGTGATGAATGAAAAGTCACAAAATAACTAAATAAGAGTAATCATGATACATGAACTGTAGCCATTGTGCTGATAATTGTTTCAACTTTTATACACTCAAAAGCTTTCCTATTTGGTAGTAATTAATTGCAGCCATTCCGGCTGCAGCTGCAAGCCAATTGTACTACCATCTACATGTTTTGCTTATGGAAATGTAGGGGTGTGTGTTAAGTTATTGGAGCCTACTGTCTCTTTTGCATTTAGCTGATAGCTAAATAATAAAAGCCACTTGTTTTGCACTTGCATTTAGTGCTTCTACTTGGACGAGAGGCGTGGGCTGATTTTTGTGCTGGTGATGGTGGTTATGCTGCCTGCTACATACTGTTGTAGCAAAGGTATGGTTTAATGAAATTTTCACTTCTGATTTTTTTTCGATTTGGCCATATTGCTCAATGGAAAGAACTCTTCTATTGTTCCTGAAACTACTCACCAGTCAGTAAATTAAAAAAATCAGGCAGCAGATTGCATAGGAACTTCTAGATACCCATACCCATCTCGTCTCTGGCTCCTAGGGGCTCTTTTCGCTGCATCAACACAGGAAGGAATTTAGTGCCGCTCACAAGAAATTTTGCAAGCTTAGGGCCATATGTTCTGCCTCAAGGCAGGCAGGAGGTCGACGTCGCTAACTGATTTTAGATGCCTTAATTATTTTTTTGAGCAAGAATGAGGGAGTGTTGTATAAGGAATCTGAGCGTCCTGATGCACTATATAGTGT